TGCTCTTACAGAGGACCCGGGTTTGATTCCCAGGGCCCACATGGCGGCTGAGAACCGTCCTTAACTCCAGATCCAGGGGAATCCGAAGCCCTCTTCTGATCGCGGCATTGCACGACATGGGTGCACTCACATACATGCAGGCAATACACTCATACACATAAAATAAAAATAATAAATTTTAAAAAAGAAAAGAAAAAGAACTGCTTATCTGTCTTTATTTTTAGGGTGATTTGCTTGCTTTTTGGGAGAAGGTGTTGAGGAAATAACTAAAGATGTCACTGGGGGATTCCAGGCTGTCACTCTACCCTGAGCCACGCCCCCAGCCCCTCACTGGGGATTCTAGGCTGTCACTCAACCCTGAGCCACGCCCCTAGCCCCTCCCTGGGGATTCTAGGCTGTCACTCTACCCCCACGCCCCCACTCTACCCACGCCCGCAGCCCCTCACTGGGGATCCTAGGCTGTAGACCAAGCAGGCCTTGAACGCACAGAGATCCACCTGCCTCTGTGGCTCCCGAGTGCTGGGATTAAAGGCCACGACACCCGGCGTTATTTATTATTTTTATCTTATGTTTATGCATGTATTGCCTGCATGCGGGTAGGCGCACCCACCCATGTGGTGCAATGCCCGAGGAGGGCAGAAGAGGCTGTCAGATCCCCTGGAACTGGAGTTAGGGACAGTTGTTAACTGCCTGTGGGTGCTGGGATTTGAACCCAGGTCTTCTGCAAGAATAGCAGTGTTCTTAACCTCTGAGCTATCTCTCCAGGCCTGAAATATCTTCTTAAACAGCCCAAATTTCTTATAGAAAAGAGAAGTTTTAAGGCTAGGAGTGGTGGTGCAGGCCTTTAATCCCAGCACTCAGGAGTTCAAGGTCAGCCTGGTCTTGAACTCTCAGAGATCCTCCTGCCTTTGCCTCCCAAATCCTGGGATTAAAGGCGTGTGCCACCATTCAGGGTGAAAAGAGAAGTTCTTTTCACAAATCTCTGATGAAATTGTCTCAATTTGTCCTGTGCAGTGCCTCTGTGGGCTTTTTTTCTTTTTTTTTTTTTTTTTTAAGACTTTATTTATGTGTGTGTCTCTGTGTGGGTATGAATACCACACATGTGCAGTACCCATGGAGGCCAGAAGAAGGCATCGAATACACTGGAACTGGAGTTAACAGACAGTTGTTATCTGCCATGTGGGTGCTGGGAACCAAACCCAGGTCCTTTGCAAGAGCAGCCAGTATTCCTTATACTGAGCTAACTCTCTACCCTGTTTTTATTTTACTATATTTTTTCTTTGAAACGGTTATCCTTAGAGCCAGGCACGCATTTAATCCCAGCACTTGGGAGGCAGAGGGAGGCTGATCTCTGTGAGTTCAACTGAGCAGCTATTGGGCTTTCTGCATCTCCATTGTGAAGACAGCCAATTGCACTACCCAGACCATACAACTTAAGCCAATCTAATACATCCCCTTTGAATATATATTCATTCTATAGGTTCTGTTCATCAAGACGTATGATGGGCAGGATCAAGGTCCCCAAAGATGGCCTCTGGGGAGCCCATGACTTGTGCCCTTGTCTCCTCCAGTGGTAAAAGAGACCCTGGAGATGGGTTGGAGCCAAGGACACAGAGCTGGACCTGGGGAACATCATGGGGGCTCAGTGTCACTAAGGGGTCATCCTACAAAGTCAGGACTGTGGTGAGAAGCAGAGAGATTGGGAGACATTGCTCTGCTGGTTCTGAAGAGAGAGGAAGGTATCACAAGCCAAAGGATGCAGTGCTTTTAGGAACTGCTGAGTCCACAGCTGCCCCACCTGGACTATAGCTCATGCAGGCCCCTGTCAGACTCCTGACCACAGAACTTAGAAAATCTACAGTGTTAAGCTTATAATCATGGGGGTTGGAATTGAGTTTATAGGGCACTGGCCTAGCATGCAGGAAAGCACTGTGCTTATGCTTATCCCCAGGACTTGGGAGGTGGAGACAGGAAAATCAGGAGTTCAGGAGCATCGTTGGCTACATAGGGATTTAGAAGCCAGCCCAGGCTACATGAGACTATCTTAGAAAGAAAACCAAACTGGTGCTGGAGAGCTGGCTCAGCAGTTAGGAACACTGGCTGCTCTTGCACAGGACCTGGGTTTGCTTCCCAGCAACCACATGGCAGTTAACAACTGTCTGTAAGTCCAGCTCCAAGGGATTCAATGGCCTCTGTGCCTCTGAAGGCGTGTGGTGCACTTATATACATGCCTGCAAAACAACATCATGTACATAAAATAAAAGTTAAGGGGCTGGAGAGATGGCTCAGTGGTTAAGAACACTGGCTGTTCTTACAGAAGACCCAGGTTCAAATCCTAGCACCCACATGGCAGCTAACAACTGTCCATAACTCCAGTTCCAGGGGATCCGACAGCCTCTTCTGTCCTCTGTGGGCATTGGATGACATGGGTGCACTTACCTACATACAGGCAATATACATAAAATAAAAAATAATAAAATATTTTCAAAAAAAAGTTAAAAAAAGATTTAAGAAAAAAAAACCCAATACATTTATAATGATCAGTCAGAAAACTTACTAAATTCATGTGCCTTCCCAAGTGGACTGTTCAGTTCCTGGAAATCACTCCTGCCTTCCCGTGGCTCCTGTGTGCCATGGCATCACAGCCCTACAGACTCAGATAATCACAGGGTAAGGCATTTTATAAAGACTTCAAAGCAAAGTCACTAAAGGGAGTTGTTTAAAGATGGTCACCAGGGCTGGTTGCTGCAATTCTGTGCCTTTGGCTACAAGTAACTGACTGGCCCAGCACCTCAAAGATACTTCCTAGCTGTCTGGATAAAAGGCCCTAACATAGCACGGCCTACAGGCATGGTGGGATCTAGGCAGTTCAGACCTGCTCAGATGCAACTCCCTGAGGCCCAGATTCCTCCACTCTAGTGGCAGGGACTCTTCCTCTTCTGATTACCCTGAAGAACCTGTTTCCAGAATGAACCTCCCATCCATGGAATGAGACTCTTGTCATCTGCCAGGACAGAAGGAGACAGGGATACAGAAACTGCTGCAGCTCAGACCTTTCTGCCCCCTTCCTGGAGCTGGAGTTACAGTTGTTAGCTGCCATGTTGGTGCTGGGAATCAAACCTGGGTCCTTGGCAAGAGCAGCCAGGGCTCTTAACTGCTGAACCAGCTCTCTAGTCCCCCTTTCTTTTCTTTTTTGAGGCAAGATCTCCCTCTGTAGCCCAGTTTGGCTTTGAACCCATGATCCCCCTGGCTCAACTGTTCTTTACCTTGCCTGGCTCTACACAGGAATCTTTCGGTAGAAAATCTCTCCAAAGTCTGGCATGTTCTGCTGCTCAACCCCATGGCTGTCACTGGTTGCTGTTCATGGACAGGCCTGAGACCCTGGAGCTCAGGGCTTCCTTCCCACCTGTACATCACTACCAGAAAGACTACAGAGTGTTCACAGGTCAGAACAAGTGGGGGTGACCCACACAGGGAGGACCAGTGCTGCCCACAGCCCAGTGTGGCCATGAACCTGATAAAAGCCCTGAGAGGGGCTACTGTTGACTTCTACAACCCCACCATCTCTTCCTCCATGAAGCCCTCTAGGTTGTACCCCAGCTTGCTCTTGGTGAGTTGGGACTTTTGGTTTTATTTATTTATTGAGACAGGGACTCCCTGTAGTCCCAGCTGGCCTGAATCTATGTAGACCTTGATCTGCCTCCAGAGTGCTAGGGTTAAAGGTAAGTGCCACCATGGTGGCTCCTATTGAGTTTAGAATGCACAGTGTAGTCCCACGCACACTCAGAGTGGCTTTCTGGGGCCTCAGTTTCTCCCCTGGACAGTGGGACCTGTGTCATTGGGCAGGTGTGGCAACTGGATCTGTGGGCCAGGGTGTGGGGTTTAGAGGCTGAAGTGTGGGGGCTGGAGCCACAATCTGGAGTGCATGGCCCTGCCTTAGGGTGTCAGGCTCTGCCTGTGGAATCCAGGGTCTAGGCTGCAGGGTTCAGTGTCTAGATTCTGGGGCCTAGTCAGGGTTCTTGGGTCTTGGAAGCTCTGGTCAGGGTGGGATCAGGACTCCAGGGTCAGCCACTCCTCCCTGCTCTCCTTCACCTACCTGTCTTCAGCTTCATCTCCCTCTCCCTCCTCCCTTTTCCTCCCCTTTCATCCTCCTTTCTGTGGCCCCTCTTCTCCCCACTGACCCCAGGCATGCATCATATCCTTGCCTCAACCTGCCCCTCACCCTCTTCCATTTCCTTTTGCTGTGAGTCTTCTTCCCCTTCCTCTCCATGACCCACTCCCTCCTCCCTTCTTTCCTCACTTCACCCACCTCTCCTCCCTCCTCTATCTGCCATTTTTTTTGGGGGGGGTCTTTTTGAGACAAGGTCTCGCAGTAGCCCCCGCTGGCCTGGAACTCACTATGTAGATCAGGCTGGCCTCGAACTCACAGAGATCTGCCAGCCTCTGCCTCCCTAGTGGAGTGCTGGGATTAAAGGCTCAGCTCTCTATCTGCCATTTTTCACCTCCCCATTACTCACTGCCCTCTCCCCTTCCTCCCTCCCTTTGCTCCAGCTCTGGCTCTTCTCCAAGTCCTGCTCCTCCTCCCTCCCCTCCGTCCTCTCATTCGCTCCTCTTTCCTCTATCCCTCCCTCCTCCTCTCACTCCTCTTGTCTTCCCATCCAGTCTTCCCTCTCCTTCCCTTGGTCACCCCTACTTGTTCTTCTTCCTCTCCCTTCTGTCTTCCCATCACTCCTCTCTCCTCCCTCTCTCCGGTCTGTCCTCCTCCCCTCGCTCCTTCCCTCTCTCTCTCTCTCTTTTCCTTCCTGTTTTCCTCCCTCCTCTCCCTCCTCCCCTGACTCCTCAGCTGCCCCGCAGGCCCTCCTCAGCCTCCCCGCCATAGCCCCGCCCTACAGCCGCATCCCGCTGTAGGCCACGCCCACAGTTCCTCGCAGCCCTGCCCCAACATAACCCAAAGGCTCCGCCCCACAGTCCTCCACAGCCCAGCCACGCCATAAGCCACGCCCCGAGGCCACGCCCCCGCGCCGCAGCGACAAGATGGCGGCGGGCGGCAGCGGGCGAGCGTCGTGCCCGCCGGGGGTCGGGCCTGGCGCGGGCGGTCCCGGGCCCAGCGCCAACGCGGCCTCAGCCCCCAGCAACGCCGCCGCTTGCGCCCCGGGGCCGCCGGCGCTTTCCCCGCCTCCGGGGCCAGGGGCCGATCCGGGGGACGAGCGCGACGACGCGGGCCCCGGCGCGTTGCTGCGCGAGCCGGTGTACAACTGGCAGGCCACCAAGCCCACGGTGCAGGAGCGCTTCGCCTTCCTGTTCAACAACGAGGTGTTGTGCGACGTGCACTTCCTGGTGGGCAAGGGGCTCAGCTCTCAGCGCGTCCCCGCGCACAGGTGGGCCGCCGGGGCGCCCGGACCCTGCACCCCGGACCCCGCACCCTGCACCCCGGACCCTAACCTTGCACGCCAGACTGATCCTGGACCCTGGCCCAGTACCCCAGACCCTGCAACCCCAGACCTGACCCTGTATCCCGGATCCTGCACCCTAGACCCTGCACCCTGACCCCGTAGCCCCGAATCCTGCACCTGAGACTCTGCACCTCATCCAGACTCTACACCCCAGACCCTGAACCCTGCACCCTGAAACTTTGTACCTCATTCTGACCCTGGACTCTGACCTCCAGGACCCTGTACCCCAAGACCCTGCACTCCAGACCCTGCACCTCTCAGACCTTGTACCCCTCCCAGATCCTGTGCCCTAAGATCCTACACCCCACCCAGACCCTGCACCCTGTGCCCCACTCCAGGACACCTCACTTAATGCCTCAGGTCTAGCACCTTGGGACCCCTCACTCCCCATCTGGACCTGGTTCTTGGGGACCCCCTCTACCCCTGCACCTGGGAAAACCCCAGCCCTGGACTCCTGCTCTGGGACTTGGTGCCAGCATCCCTCTGGACCTGGCCCTGGGGACTGTCTACTTCTTGGTTCCCAGGCCCTGCCCCTGCCCCTCCACCCTGGGCCCCTTCCACTCCTTGGATCCTCCCAGAGACTCCTACCACACCCCCATTCCCAAGCCATCCAATCCGATGACCTCTTCATCCCCACTCACAACCTCAGAACCCCCTATTACCCCCCATCTTCACACCCTGTGTTTGTGCTTCAAATCATCCAACTGTGGGTCTTGGTGACCCGGTTTCCCCAAGATGCCCTCTGCTACCGGTGGTCAGGGGTTGTCGTGTCGTGTCTCCCCCTCTCCAGCTGCACCAGGAACTGGAGACTCAGAGTTTCCCTGGGATCTACCCAGCCACCCTGCGCCTGTACTTCCGGGTACTCCAACTTGATTCTGTGTGATGATTTGTTGGATTGGCTGGCAAAGTGGGGAACATAGCTGTGGTGTGAAGCCCCTGGAAAGAAGCAGAGCCCTGGTCTCTTACTGTCAGGGTGCTGAGGGGCAGGGCAGTGCTGGACCAGAGGACAGAGGACCTGTATAGATGGGCTTCACAGCAAGGCTGGAGCAGGAAGGGCAAGGGGCATCCTGACTTACAGTGTAGCTTCCAAGTGTGGACTGTGGGGATTTGGCAGGTGGTAGAAGTGGACAGTGGAGGACTTGGCTTCTGAGTGGACCAGGTGTCTTACTGGGACTGTGGCCTGTGGCTTGGGTGTCACAATTAGGATTTGGCTGTGCATTCTGAACTTTCAGGGCATCAGTTTCCACACCTGTGATCTGGAGTCACTTAGGTGTGCATCCATCTGGGCTGCTGGGATATGTCAACTCCCCCATGCATTGTGCTTGTCACAGTACCTCAACACTCAGCCTCTGCCCTTGGGCGTGAACAGAAGGGACAGACCCCAGGCTAGAGTCTACAGGTTGCTGTGGATAGGGTAGACATGTGACCTTCTGTCAGTGGGGGTACCCCTGGACATAATGATTCCCACCCATCTGACATGGTGTAGGGTCGGTCTGCTGTCCAGATAGGATAGGGAAGCAGTGTCTGCTGGTGCAGGCTTGTGATCCACTTCTAGGAGGCTGAGGCAGGAGGATTACAAATTCCAGGCCAACCTGGGTAACTTCTGGAGACAGTCTGAAAAAGCAAAAAAGAAAGCTGGGGATCTGGCTCAGAGGGAGAGCCCCTGCCTAGAATCCTCCACTGAGGGGCTGGAGGCATGGCTCAAGGGTAGAGTGGCAGCCTACAATCCCCAGTATGATGGTTCAGTCCCCAGTTCAAAACAAAAATGATCAAGAGCCTACAGTAGTTGGAGAGAAGATACCCCTACCCAGGGACACCCAGGAGAGGCAGGAACCCCCCCCCCCCCCCC